CCCATATCCACAGTTTACAGCGGCCTGAAAACTTTTATAAATTCGTAAAAATGACTAAGAATGTTTTTTCGCTGAGGGGTATGAAAAGCAGGGTAATCACTGCTCAGCAGGCACTGCGAGTGCGTCGTCTGCGATGCTAAGGGACGGAGCAGACAGGCATGGTCGAGGGTTAACATCCCTTGACACTTGATATATTTTCATTGCTGTCATAGTCTCTTGAGAATTAGCCTAAAACGTCAAATCCCTTTCATTCAAGAGAGTACAGTAAAAAAAAAATCAGCACTGTACAGTACAGTATAATGTACATTATTATTATTATTATTATTATATTTAATGTTCGTAATGTATTACTGTGCATATGTAAGTACAGGATAATCACGTTATATATGGGTTCCGCGAATAGTTCTTTGTTATTCCCATGGGGGGGTGTTGGGCGGGGGCTACTGTAACTTGAATTACATATTCCCCTTCAAGCACAATGCAGGAAGTAGGTGGAAAAAGCATTTCACTGCACGGACGTACAGTGTGTGTTGGTTTATGAAACAAATAGAACCTGAAACTTGAATCAGCTTCTACAGACCGTCATGGGCTTCACAGGATCGACGGAAGGTGGAGCCCCGTCCGCAGGTGAAAATCTGAAGGTAACCAGCGTCCTCTTAGGAATTAGTATGGAGCCACCAAGGTGGGGGGGGGGGAGGGGGCGGCCAGCTGTGCTGCATTTAAACAAGCTGAGTAAGACAGTCTGCAAGATGGTGAGATGGAAAGTGGTCTCTCCTCCAGGATAATGGACCTGGCCTGATCCCCATAAGATGTTTTACAGGGGCTGAAGGTCATAGCAGCTAAACCAGGTTCTACTCTTCGCGTGACACTGCATACACAATTATTAGGCAAGAGTGTATTTTACTTGTATCTTCTAGTCACACAAATATATTCAATCCAGATGAATCTCCAATTAAGAAGAGTGAATTAAAAATAGAGCATGCTGAGTATGTCCTGTTTGAACTAAAAACAGAAATGGCAGATACTTCCTGGTGCAGAATTATTAGGCAAATTGTTATTGCTAATAAAATGGTCCAAAAGAGAAGCATAACAAGGGAGAGAAAAGAAACAGTACAGTGTCTGTCAGAGGGGATGGAAAACAATCAAAACTGCCAAACTCTGAAGACATGATCGCACCATTCAGTCGACTGTTTTGAGGCCAGCAGCCAAAGATGACGGAAGAAGCATGTAGAGAAGAAGAGACAAATGAACTGCCTAAGATACATGTTAAATTAAACAGGTGACTTCAGTCCGTCGAGATACCAAAGGCGCAAACACAACCTTACTACAGAGTACAAGCTGTATACTTCTCAGAGCAGCATCTGGGAGGCTGTCCTATCTGCCTGAGCTAATACAGGACAAACACCTGATTGGCTGAATGGATAAGAAGCTCATGATGGTCATTGGTCAGAAAGGTGGCTATACAGGATATTAAGCTTAGTAAAGTGGACTGTATAGAATTACCAAGAGAGCAGCCAACATCTTCCTTAACTTTTGAAACAGGATCAATTGAACGATAATAAACAGATTTTGCTCTGCACTTAAACACTGTAATGGCCGACATGGTTTTTGAACCCCGTTACTTCTCAGTAACGATAAAAATCTCAAATCATCAAACTCAAAACTTTAAATGACACTTTGTCACCTTGGCGACAGATTCTGCTTTGATCTACCACCAGGAGGAACCTCAGCGCGAGCCAGAAACATGGATTAAGAAATACACACGAGGGCATGAGATGTAGCCCCCCCAAGCCCCCACCTTCCCGAAGGACATTCAGCTGACCCTGTTCTCCTCTGCCTGCCCCAACCCCCATGATCCCCCCCCCCCAAACTCTGGTAGTATAAGGTGGCCAAGGGTAAGCAAGGGTATGGAAACTCTCGATAAGCAGCCATATAACTATGTAACTTAATGAAAGAGCACTAAGGTGAATTCTGGTGCACAAATTCATGGAGTGAAAGAAAAAAAATGCAGAAACACTGGGCAGAGTAGAGAATTCAGTCAGACCAAGAAGACAACATCTGCTCTCTCTGCTGGACTCTTGGGACACCGATGCCGACTGCGCTGCATCCATCTGTGCTCCTGGACGTATGCGTCACGCACACAGGAGTCCACTGGGCACGGCCGTGCGTCAACCAAAACGGCACGTCGAAAAGTGACGTGTGAACTACGCTTAATAACTCCCAAGAAGAAAGACCTCTTCTGCTGGATAAAAACTGGCCCAAACGGCATCTGCCAATCTGCGACCAAAAAATGCAGCGGATACGACTGGGAGATCTTTGCTGTTTCACGGACGAATCACAGGTCAAAGCGCTTTCATTTTCATTCAGCTCACACTTAACCAGTTTTTTTCCTGATGGATGAAGGCACAGTTCTGAATTTTTCTTGCAGTTTTAACTGGATATATCTTAATTTATATATAAATGTGTGCGTGTGTGCGAGTGTATGTGTATATATAGTGAGAGGGACCAGCACGCACCCCTGGTAACTAACCCCAGTTCAGGCATTGAATCGACCGCAGGCAAATGGTTAGATATTCCACAGGTATCGATCTTAAAAAAAAAAAAAAAAACCGGCTTTTGAAGTTTGGGTGCATTCCAAGTGGCCACAATTTAATTGAAGTGCACTGGTGTCCTGTTCCTTCATGTACAGCAGCATTTCTTTAATTATGACTTTGCCAGTGTAGTGGAGGAAAACATTAGCCCTTTGATCTAACAAAGTCAACGAGGACAAACATCTAGCAGCTAGGGTAAGGGACAGACATAGCAGAGAATCATATCAAAGTAGAATGGCATGTAGAGTAACGGCATGCCCTGCACTCATATGGGACACTTATACAGACACGCTATGGGTAAATGCTGCTCATTCTAGCTGCTCATAATTTCTATACTCCCAAGAAGCTTTATAGAGTAAATGACCTCCTGGGTCACGATGCTAAAATGGCTGGCCGATGGTGTGATCCATTAAGACACATTGCGGGGAATCCACTTAGCTGGCAACCAGTCGGAAAAGGCAAAAAGCTACCGTCTCTCTTGGGTGGGGGGGGGGCAGAATCCCACAAGCGAGCATTGGGCGCTCACAGCATCCTCACATCTACCCTTTGTGAGTGAGCGTGGGCCCCAGTGGAATATACATTGCCAATCTCCCCCCCCCCCCCCATTTTCACATACAAGAAGCATTAACTTCACATGGGGGAGGGGGGGGGGTTAAATATTAAATATCCCATGCGGATTCTCCTGTTGGCGGAAGACGTGGGCTACTTTGGCGAACTCACAAGGCAGATAACATGAAGGAGACTCCTGGCTCCCCGTTCACTCTGCTCTGCCACGGTAAGCAGTAACGTGCCGTATTCTATTAGTGGGGGGGCTTTCATCTGAAGCGACACACCATTTTCACCCTCTCAGACAGCTATATATTTCCCTGGGGCGACTGAGGTAAACCGTCTTGCTACTGGAACCTGAAGTGGCTCACAGGTTCCTCTCACTAACCTGCCACGCCACCTAATGTCCATTTCAGTTGTCAGCAGACAGAAAGGTTTCTGACTAAATTAAATGCGGCTGGTTGTTTTGGAGCCCTCGGCATTTCCGAACGGTGCGAGTCACTGCACCGCTGACACACGCCCCCGCAAGATACGGCCAATGCACTGGCACGTTTCCATTTTGTGGGAAACATTAATCCTGAGTCATCACAAATTCTGTGGTGGGAGACAGGCAGCAGAGTCCTTCATTGTAAACCCGCTTCCCGTTAAGGTGTGGTTTTGGGTGTCGACATGAACCCTGCCTTTACCACAAACCAGAATTTAAAAAGTTACATTTAAGTAACTTTTGTGGCTTTATTTCAGAGAAATATACCATTTTAACCAATTCAGACAGCTGTATATTTTATCAAAACCAGGCCAGGGTCAAAGATTTCTGTCCAATATCTTTGGGGACTTGCGCAGAGGAAGCTACAGAACTTCCTCACTATGGGGTGGGGTGGGGGGGGGGGGGCTGTGGAGTAAAAAGAAAATCAGCTTTAATTGCCTTATGCAATATGCATGTGGAGAGCAGAGCGAACCATATAAAAATATTCATCAGACCGGCAGACGTCCACCTGTGAGAAATGGAGATGGAAGGATAATTTTGAAAGGGGGGGCACACAGGTAAGGACCCTGTTTATTATTCAGGGAGGGGGGAACGGCTCAGGAAGCTCTATGGCGTGAGGGTGGTGTTCCGTTCCCGTGTGGCGATGAGATAAACAGAAGGGCAGCGATGGACAGACCTCGCATCTCCCCGACATCCAGAGCCGGATCGCCACCTTGCTACGCTTGCAGGAACTACACCGGGAAGATGATCGATGAACATCATGGATCAATCGCACCTTGTCTGGTCTGGGATGGGCTGCAGTCTCACTGGATGAGCAGTTAGGGAAATACGGGCACCTAAATTCAGATTAATATTGGGGGCTGGGCCAGAATCCGATGGTAGGAGAAGCTCTCCTCTTAACACCTTCTCAGCATTGCAGGTGGCTTGAACATCGGCCCAACGAAGTCTGGCCATTTAAGCCCTTTGTGTTGGTTTGTTTTTTGCACTTATTTATTGATTCATTCATTTTTATCCACAGCGACATGCACTGAGAATGCAGGGCCAGCCAGACCCTGAAGCAATCGGTGTTTTGGGCCTCGCTCATGTGCCCAACAGTGAAGTAACTGGTGCCAATCATGGGATATGAACCAGTGACCTTCTGATCACAGGCACAGAGCCCTGGGCTGCAGAGCGCCAGACCGCCCCAGGCGCAAGTGCGTGTGTGGAAACAGCGCCCTGCTGTGACCGTCCTACCGCTCGCATCTCAGCTGGAAGCCCGTTAATGAAAGTCCGCATCGCAGTTGTGTTACCGTTATTTCAGAAGTTTCTGTGTCGCTACACAGGAATTTAGCCTAGATATGGTAAGAAAACGGCAAGAAGGTAAAGATGGACGGACTTACAGGTGAAGACGACCATGAGCGTCCGAGCGGCAAGGTCCACGGCGAGGCCGAATCGGGCCGGCATGCGGCCGACTGCCTCGGGCACCAAGATCTCAGCCGCGACGTAGAACTGCAGGGCGTAGGTGATGAAAATGCCGAAACTGTAGAGGAGCTTCACCGCCTGGTATAGCCTGGAGGGCACAGGATGGGGAGAGGCGGCTGGGTCTCGTAAATGTGCGCAACATGAAAACAGGAACATGAAAGAGGCTTCAGATAAGTAAACAAGAAAAACCCAGCAGTAGGTACATCTTTCAGATGATGGAAAGTGGGGCTCATTTATTTTTTCTTCCACTCATTCACTCATCTGACCCTTTTATCAAAAGTGACATACAGTTCAGAAACTCAGACAGCCCCCGGTCAGACAGCCCCCGGAGAAACTGCAGCTTTCGGGCTTTGCAGAAAGACCCAACAATGTAAACACTCAGCCCACCATGAGATTCGGACTGGTGAAATTCCAATCACCAGCACGGTGTTCTAACCCACGGAGCCACACACCTGCCACTAAATCCATTACTTACCAATAAATCATATAGCATATGCTGGGACCTGACAGAAGGCAATCAGCACTAAACACAGTTAGCCCGCATCTGAGCTGGTTTTGAACAATCACAGTTTGAAAAAATACTTTTAAATGAAGAGCCTGAAAATTAAACAAACTGCACAATATCAAACTAGTGCGCAAAGTGCATAAAGTGTGGATTGAGCACGATGTGTTTATAATGTATTGTTTAGGTAAAAAACCTTGTACAGTACAGTACATACACAGTTACACATGTTTTTTTTGTCTTTTTTCCCTAAGCAATACATTATAATAACTCTTCTAATGTTTTTCCATAAAATTTACATTGCATATGTACAGTTCTGTAATCTATGCATGATTTAAAGTATACAGCAGGTTGGGAATAGGTGTATATGCAAAGTAAATAGACGCTTTTATATTATCGTCTTGAATGTACGTGGTTGTGGAGTATCGCAGTGGGTTGTGGAACCAATTGATCGTGTAAGATGCGTGAGCACTGCACACTGCAGCAGACAAAAAGCAACAACAGCACAAGGTCACATGCCTCAACCATTGAGCTAAACCATCCACGTTAGAGAATAAACACTGTCCCCCTCAGATCACGGGTGCCAGGAATGTCTGTGCGACTTTGTAGGCCGGGGGGCTCACCAGCAGCTGGGCAGGTTGAGGGTGATGCTCCCGCCGATGGCATTGCCAAAGCACACGTAGCCCACGGTGCCCAGGCTGATGTAGAGGAACGTCACGATGAACATGCCCAGGTAGAGCACAGTGTTGAAGTGCTGAGGCTTCTGCATCTTGTTCTCCAGCGGAAGGACCTGCAGGGCGCGGCGCACACATTTCCTGATCAGCTGCTCGGCAGCGCCCCCCTCTGAACCACTTAAAACACGACGTTGATGTGGGGGAAAAAAATCATGGAAATATACCTGTGAGCCAACTTACCACTCCGATGCCTTCAAAGGCAAATATCGCCGTTCCGAAGAAGAGAGAATAGTCCCGGGCATTTCCAAAGTATGGCAGCGAAATCGGGTACTTGATGTTCTGGAAGCCAAAGACAGTTTTAGATACTGCAGAACAATGGCTTCAGTGCACTTAGACCTCCAGGCCACTAGGGGACACCCATTATACCAAAAAGACTTGATGTGAAAAGTAGCACATTAAAATCTAATTTGCATGAAAGTTAATGGAGTAACATTGCTGAACACTGGGTCTGTAGAATACATATTCAGATATGTATCTAAATAACAGTTTTAATTTCATTTTAATTTCATGGATGAATGCAATGGACCATATAAGGGATTTACTGAAATAAAGAGTATACACGCTATCAATCCATCCATCTTCCGCAGCTATCCAGTAGAGGTCTGCTGTGAGACTGGAGCCTATCTCCAAAAGCATAAGGCTCAGGGCAGGGGACACCCTGGACAGGGTGCCAGTGCACTGATTGGTCACACACACAAACACACACTATGGGTGATTCAGAAAGACCAGGTCACACACTGTTGGAGGAATCCCACTCCAACATGGGAAGAACCTGAAATTTCCACACATCAATCTGTTCAGAAGCCATAACCTGAGGGTGCTGACAAACCCCAAATATCGGGCCTATAGCCAGTCGAAGCATTACATTGCACCAGTACGGTGGCCAGCAGAGGGTGCTATTAACATAAATCCAGTTCAGTTTACATATATATTTTTTTTCCAATCTCCAGCAGAGCCATCACACTGAGAGGCCTGGCCACTGTCAGAAACCCCATAATCACTGGTCCTTCAAAGGTCATAAACCCCTCCGCTTAGGCCGAGGGTGTAGAATTACGCTCACTGCAGCTGCTGAAGGGCCTTGATTGCTAAACACACCCCAAACTCTGGCCGCACAGTCATCTCTTAGGGGCGTTGATATGCTAACAGCTAACGCCCCCTAGCCTTCCCCATACCCCCGCCTCTTCCTTCACACGTAACCTCATATCTATACATATCATATATAGCTTTGGGAGAAATTAAGACACCACAGTAAAATTTTCAGTTTCACTCATTTCTCAATTTATGGGTATGCACCTGTGCAAAATACACATTTTTTTGCAAACTGCAGTCTAGTTGTTCTCTGTTTCTCATTAATGAAGAGCTTCTTCCTTGATTTATGGGTCTTCAGTCCTGCTTCTAGGAGCCTCTTATGTACTTGTCCTAGAAGTCCACCACATTCTGAAGGCCACTTGAGGTCATCCACCGATTTATGAGGCACTGTCACATAAGTTGACAGTCATCTCTAGCATTACAAAGTTGCTTCTGCCCCCTACCTGACTGGTTTTTGATTATTGCCAGTGTCTCCTGCTTCACCTTGTTCTTGTGTACTGCTGCATTAGAAACTTAGAGCCTGGAAGCAAACCTGCCTCGCAGTGTTGCCTTCTGCCAGCAGAACTGGGATTAAACCAGGATTTAACTATGCAGATTTTTTTTTAAATATAGAATGGTCTCTTCGTTTTTCCCAGAGTTGTATGCATATATGTCAATCCCAGGATCTTCCTCGACAAAAGGCACCTCTGACAGATCATCAGGCTTTTTCAAGGAGGACTGCTCCCAACTGAAGTCACTCTCATGCCAACAAAATTGGAATTCAGTGGAAGCTGACAACAGACTTGTGTTTTTAGACTTGTGGATAAAATAAAGTACAGGAGAGTGGTCTAGTACCATGGTCTGGTACAAAGAGATTAGCACATGCAGGTACTGCTGTGGTGAGAGAATACAAGCAGAGCAGTAGGTAAGGACAGTTAACCTGTATCTTCTGTTATAGGGGCCCGACAGACCAGGGCAGGAGAGAACATAAGCATCATGGAGCCAGAAGATGCCAGATGAACAGAGGAAGATGAGAAAACATGATAACATGAATCTAGGTGAGCAGGGGAGGACGTACCATTATAGAATAAACGTAGATCAAAACCAGACTGACACACATGACCAAATTGGCCAAGAGGGACAGGGGCGCCAGATACTTGAGGTTGCGAGTGAAGACCAGCAGGATGATGAACGGAAGCAGGCAGAGCATGTAGAGGCGGGAGTCAAAGCTGGGCACCAGCACTGATGTCTGGTTGTTCTGGCAGTTCATAGTTGTGGAGTTCGCTGCCTCCACGACCTGTGGACGGGAGGAGGGAGCTGTGACGTCATTACAGGCCCCGTTGCAGTATTGCCATCCCTGGTAGATGCATCATACCTGCATATGTTCCAGTAAGATATATTATCTTTAGCTCATAAACTACAGGCCTGGTGCACTTTCACTGGAGTCATGGAATGCTGGATGAAGGAAATTTCAATCTGACATTGAGTCATTACAAAATTACATTACAAACTTTTTACAAGTCTAGCTTTTAACTGACATATTTACGAAGTGATTTTAACACCCCATGTGATTAACGTTTATCTTTTCTTTAACGAATGTGAACGGATCAAACATGAAAACCAGTATGTATTTAAATGTCATGTGTCATATCAAAAGTTTAAATCAGGTCATGTTCTTATAGAAAACTAAAGCTAAATCCAGACCAATCACCATTTTATCCATGACGCAGCAGTACAGCTCCCCCTAACAGCAAAACAAATCTCACTGCAGGTTTTCACATGAGCTGAAATGGACACACATACCACACACACGTCAGGCAGCAACCACAGAAGGAAATACTGCCCCTTTGTGGTCACTGTCAAAATTAAAGTGATTAAACTATAAAGGCATCAGTTTGAAAAAGTTTTGGATTAATGCCTTATCTCCAGTACGATTTTAAAAGGCTGTGCAACAAGAAACGTTAATATATGTATAATTTAAAAATGCATACTTCCCCTTTTCACACCTCTGCCTACCCAGATGTCAGCGCTTTGCCCATTTTAGCTTTTCGCTAAAATGTTAGCTATTAGCTAAAAAAAATGATTGGCTGCTGAATTTCCATGCCGTCACCAAAACCCATGTGGTTTCCAGGGCACGACCTGTCACGCTATCAGTGCTGCACGCGATACGCTAAGAGAAGTCGATCGGCTGACGAAAGAGGCAAAGCTCAAAACAACCCACAAAAAAATTATTAAAAGACAAAATAAAGAGCAACCAAGTAGAGCTACAATTACAAAACTTAAGCCTCATTTGGATATTTAAGTTGAGTTGACCAGCTAACTTACAGTGCTGTGCAAGTCTTAGGCAGTCAAAGGAAATGTTTAAAGCTATTTATCTGTGTAGTAAGTGTATATGTGTATTGGCTCCCAAACCTCTCCTCAGGGGCACCTCAGCCATTCCATGTATTCATTAAATTTCACCAACAGCTCAATTAATTAACTAAATTACTTAACTCAATGAGGTATTAATTAGTCAAACAAGGTGTGCATGTGTATGCTGGGTGCTCTTATTTTAAATACAGTGGTATCTCAGAACTCCAACTTAATCCGTTCAGAACTCGGGTCCGAATCATGAAAAGGTCGAGTTCTGATCGAATTTTCCCCATAAGAAATAATGGAAAACCAATTAATTGGTTCCCGGACCCAAAAAATTACACCTAAATATGTTTTTTGTTTTAGCATTTAAACACAAAATGAAGAGGATAAAACAAGAAGAGCATTTTTTTCTTAATGGCTTCCAAAACGATAAAGATCTTATCCCAATATTACCCCTGTCCTGCCCTGATCGTTCGCTCCTTCCGTGTGCCACGCCCCCTCGTTAACCTCGTGTGGGATCCCCATGTGATCAGCCGTTTCTGGTTGTCATTAGTCCTCTGTATTTAGTCCGCGTTTCAGTTTGTTTCCCTAGTCCGGTCATTGTAATGTCATTGTGTTGTTCTGCCTGTTCTCAATTAAACCCTGTGTTTCCCGATCGCTTGAGTCCTGTCCCTGCTTCCCCGGTCCTGGTTCGGCAGATCGTGACAGCCCCAAGCCATGCCCCAACACTGCGCCAACACTAGACTATGCCATGCGGTCCATTGTTTATTTTTATTATTACTCTGTATTCCTTAATTTGTTCGTAAATCGCAAACTTTTAGGTTATAACATTTGTACAACTATTGCGTAACTTGTTGGTGAGCAATGGCTACCAAATTGATATAAAGTACAGTGTATTACCTGATATTTTCAATAAAACAGCACTATCACCAACAAACGATGCCATCACAGTGAATGCGAGGCTGAGACTCAAGCGTTACCGTTTGTTTCCGCTGAGAGACGTGCTGCGTGACTCATTTCCCTGCGTGTACAAGTTATCTTAGGTCGGCGTTCACAGTTCGACTTCTGATATTCAGATCAAGTTCTAAGTCTTTTTTTTTTTTTTTTTAACTGGTTGGTTCGACTTTTAAGAAATTCGAGTTCTAACGAGTCTGAGAACTGATGTACCACTGTACTTGGCTGACTTTAGGAGAGGTTTTGAAATAGCTAAGCTAAAACACTTTAGCACACATAAAACATGAGGATCATTTACACATAATTTTCTTTGACTGCCTAAGACTTTTTGCACAATACTGTAGGCTGCATATAATGGTTCCATGCTCATCCTTACAATGGTTGGAGGGGCAGTATGTTAATTTCCTATTTTGAGTATTGAACAATGTTCAGGAAGTGATTTATCGCTACTTATTATAGTGGAGTTTGCAATAAACAAAAAGTTCCTGGGGGGGAATAATCCTGGAGCAGAAGACCCAGGGGCTTAACTTCAACCAACTGTCTCACCTGCTTGATGTTGTCACTGAGGAACACGAAGTAGACACAGCAAAAGCCCAGCTGGGTGACGATCAGGAACAGATTTACCACCCGCCTGAGGACAGAAGCCGGGGGGGGGGGGGGGGTTAAAAGGCAGCAGGGGGCGGCCTGATTTCAGGAGTCACCCCAAGTGCAGAGTCGCCCCAGGCCACCCATTTGCACACGACTTGGTGGACGTGACCCCACTGCTGCGTGTGCTTTCCGAGTCCCGGTTCTCCTTCTATAAATAGATTCAAACGAGAGGCCTTTTGGAACGGCAGCCGCTCGCCTAGTGTGCTGTTCCAGAAAACGCAGCACGGGTCCCACCCCTGCGGCCTCATGATGCCGCAATGCTTTCAAACCATGCAACAGCAATGTCTGGAATGCCCAATGACAGCCATCTTTGGTTTCTCCTGCTGTGTCCCAGTACTCAACTGACTAATCAAAGTCATAGTTTGTTCCTAAACAATTCAGGGACTGTATGTAATCAACGAAGTGTTAACACACAAGAGACAGGCCGGTTCCTTTGATACGTGGTTATTCAGTACGGCCTCAATGACGCCCCGAGGCACATCTGCGGGTCCTGTTTTTTAACTGACCTCCCCCAGATGGATCGGCTACGCAGGAAGGACACATTCTCCATGCCAAACTGGAAGGCTTCCCCATAATCCAAGTACGGCTTGCTCAACCTGAAACGAGAAGTTTTCTAATTAAAAATTTCCAAGGATATAGTGGGTCAGTTTGAATACACATGGTGGAAGAAACTTCATGTCTCACTAACACGCGGCCAGGAGCAGGCAGGACGAGGAAGGTTGGTTGCTTCTTACCTGCCACTGAGATGGTGGGAGCATTTGACCAAGATGTGCATGCAGTGGACAGCTACCACACCCATGACGAGGAGACTCAAAGGGCCCAGCTACATGGAGAAATGTGAGAAAGCAGCTGGTCAAACCTCTTGTGTAAAGCTGCAGTCAAGAGAAATGCACACTAGAGACGTACGGTGGACTGAAGGCTGACATGCACTCCATGCCACAATGACAGAGTTCATCTGTGTTCCAGCCCAAAGCCGGTCACCGAATGTCACCTGACTCAAACTGTCACTGGACTGTCCCATCCAGGGAACTCGAAACAAAACCAAGGCCTAGCGAGTTTGATGGACAGAAACAAACCAGCATCAGCCCAGGAATAAAGATGCTTCAAAAGGTCCCCCAATTTGTCAGTCAATGTATGTGTGTGTGTGTGCGTGCGTGCGTGCGTGCGTGCGTGCGTGCGTGGGGGGGGGGGAGACAACAAACTATTCTATGCGGAAGTCTTAATTTCACTGGCTACAATTCACAGCAAAACTCATGGATACGCTGGTTTACTGACTGCCCAGGTACAGTATGACTATTTTAAGGACCCACTGGCACGGGAAGGAGAGAGAGGTTGGACCCCAAAAGATGGCGGTTACATTTCCTGACATCCATTTCATACTGACCACAGTGGGAGGGAGGCCTCACCTCCACCTTCAGAGCACATCTGTCCCTGAGCAATAATTATTTAAAGCATTTTTAACAACGGGAGTTTGCGACGTAGTCGGCGTCTTACCACGAGGCCGGCGTTCCTGACCGCCAGGGGCAGGCCCAGCAGCCCAGTGCCAATGTTACCCTTCAGGAGATGGATGAGGGTCTGAAGGAAGCTAGAGAAAGCGGGAGGGGGAAGAGGTGGAAAGGCAGGGAGGACATTAAAACAGAACTGTGTGTTTCAAGCTCCATACCTACAGCTTACACTACAGTCATTTCACAACACGTCTGTGCTTAACATACTCCTCCACACGTAGTGTCTATGACGAGACCCAAGGTTCTAGTCATCTCTAAGGAATCCAGTAAAATCTACAGCTTTCTAAATGTTTGAACACACAGATTCACCTTTACCATGTCTATAGGAGACCACGAGTGGATGGAGTAATTTTTCAGGAACATTTAACTTGAGGATGGCCGATGAGAAGAGCCAAAGTGTTAAAACATCTCCCCCTCTGTTATTGCCATATTTGATTATACATTATATATCCTTTACATCAGAACACTTTCACAACACAAGAGAAGCAGTTTAAGAATAAGAATGATACTTAAAATCAAAACAACTTTCATTATACAGTAAAACCTCGGATTGCGAACATAATTCGTTCTGGAAACGTGCTCGTAATCCAAAGCATTCGTATATGAAAGCATTAGAAATAATGGAAACTCAGATGATTCATTCCACAACCCAAAAAAAAAATGATTAATACAAAATATAAAGTAAAAAATAAATAAAACAAATTAACCTGCACTTTACCTTTGAAAAGAATCATAGATTGTGTGAGGGAGACGAGAGAGAGGAGGGTTATTTTGTAGGACGACTTTCACTATAACGGAAACACTGCTGTCTGTTGGCTCACTGTTATCTTTTTCTTTTTGAGTTACTTTGACAAGGAACCTATCCAATGACAGCTGCTTCTGCCTCCTTTTCCATTTCACAGAAATGTGGACATTACATTGTCGTTAAACAGATTCATAGCTCGCACCGCTATGCCCTTATTCGGGTGGTGCTTTTCTACTAAATTTTGAGTATATTAGTGAGGCACGCCGACCGAGACCGAGCATGGGAGACAATTACCCACAATCCCGCAGCGAGAGAGAGAGAAAAACCATCGACTGAGTTGTGATCACGTAACGGTAGGCAGACAAAGCATATACATAATACTCATATTGCAAGAACTCACTCGTTCATCAAGTTAAAATTAATTTAAAAATTTTGCTCATCTTGCAAAACACTCGCAAACCAAGTTACTCACAATGCGAGGTCTGATTGTACTGCCTTTATGTCACTGATATTTCAAAACTGTTCACACCGGAGTTATGAAAATTGATCTCCTTGTGTAACAGATTGAGAACATTCATTGTGAACTCACCAAAATTATTAGTTTTGTTTTCTTTGTAATTATTTTATTTTGCTGTAAATAAGACTACATTGATAAGAAGCACCTGCACTTCCGACGTAACTGCCACGTAGTTTCCAGAGTCGTCCCCCTCTTAAGTGTTGGCGCGGTTTGCCCTCCAGCAGAAGTAAAGATCTCTTGCTGGAGGGAAGTCGCATACAGTTGCATTAATTGGAAAAAGGAAAAATGGATTAAGTTATGAATTTGGACATGCCCCAATTATAAATAAACTCCCTATACAATTAATACATTTAACTGGATGATTTATAAATTTGTAGAGGTGATCTCTTAATGCAGAAATTCAAAATAGTTTTGGCGCCAAATTACCTTCCGAGGGAAGAAGGCAACCAGTTACTAAAATAAATTTTTATTCCTTTAGAAAGAAAAAGTGTGCGCAGTATCGTCAATTAGGGAACAGTTTCATTATATAATTGTATAAAAGCTATGGCTAGCGAATCGGGATACGATGCGTTTTACAGTCCTGCTATTGGCAGAGGCAGAGGTATTACCACTTGTGTAAAACCAGGTGATACTGTGAGAGTGGAGTCCGATAGCGGGATCGTGAGGGATTTTCACACGTTTTCTGATAGGGTGAGAGGAAGAGGGCGTGGCTTAGGTCCAGATTGGTCTCCTATGGGGGAAGTTTTAAGGGATTGCCAGCACGCTTCCTCTCCCATAAACGACAATATCTCTATTAATAGTTTAACTGATATAATTGGTCGATTAGGAGTACACATTGGTGACTCTATTGCAGCTAGGCTGATGTCATCCATGCCTAGGGATGTAAATACTGACAGTAATAATGTGACATCCTCTAATGTCCCGGTGACTGATTCAGTGGTTCCCACGAGGACAGATACTCCTCAGGTAACAGTTCATGTTAAGACTGACATTGAGCCCAGACTGTTTAGGGGTGATGGCTCTGACAGGTACGCCGTTCAGGAGTGGGTCGAAATGACTAAGACAAGCCTAAAAAAGCAATGTTATGAGCGGAGTGACCAGGCAGAGGAAATCATGAACAGATTATTAGGTAGAGCCAAAGACGTAGTGAGAATAGCCTTGCAGAGTGACGAATCTCGGGATGTGAAGGTTAATCCTGAGAGTATCTAAGATGTTTTGGTTCGTTATTTTAGCGAGGCTTCATCCCGTCTTCCTCTTGCGGATTTCTACACCATGCTGCCTAGGCCAAATGAGGGTCCTGTTGCTTACTGGATCAGAATTAATAAAGCGGCTGATACAGCTGATGATGGGCTATGCCAGGGACGTAGGATGGAGGATGTCAGCGGTGAAGTGGCTCGCATGTTTGTAAAGCATTGCCCTGATCCGGAGCTGGCTTGCGTCTTTAAATGTAGACCAGTCAGCGAATGGACTTCAAAGGATGTGCAGATCAGGATTGATGATTACCAGAGGGAGGCGAGAGCGGCTGTGAAGCCTAAAAATTTTGTTCATATTAAGAGTCATACTGATGGAAAATGAATCTTGCTGTTAGTTGAATCCTTCTCATAGTGCGCTCACTACCCCCTCCTCGGCATCAGCAATCTACATTTCAGTGTCCTTCTCCTTTGCTACTTGGTTCATCTTCCTGCTCAACTCCTCAGAGTGGTCAGTACCAGCAGTGCAGTCCAGCAGAGCCCTTCACGCAAAGTGTCTTGCGTTCGGATGATGGCGTTCTTGGTCAAATGATGAACATATTAGAACAAGTACTAGTTACAGTGGAGCAACGTGACTCCAGGCAATCGGAAACGTTCTTTTGGGTTAAATTCGGTTCCTTGTAAAAGTGTCACAACAGTGGTCATACTACGTTGCAGCACTGCAAGTCTGACCTTCTTTGTTTTCAATGTTTGTACCCTGGTCATAGTAAGCAACAATGTCCTGGCAGGACATCCACGTGTACTCCACAGGAAAACTAATGGACCTGTGTTCGGCGGGAGGCAATACGGCTCAGGCTAGACACTCCCCTTTGAACGACTGTGGTAGTCCTTATTGATCTGACATGTTTATGAACACTTGTGTTAGTGACACTTCGAAAATTGTTTGCCAGAACATTCAGCTTATCAGGCAAAGTAACAGTTTGTTTTTCACTCCGGTCAGAATCGCTGAGAAAGTCACGCTTGGTGCTATGCTAGATAGCGGTTCAATGGCATGCACGATGAATGAAGCTGCAGAAAGCACTACTAGAAGCAGGAGTGTTGTGTGAAGCGGACCGGTTCTCTTCGAATGTTACGCTAGCGGGTTTAGGTGGTTGCCGGGTGTCCCCGAAACCTACATTCAACATTGAGATGGAGGTTTATGATTGCAAAATGATAGTCCCCACTTTAGTAGTTGAAGGCCAACATGACGAGTTAATCCTTGACACAAACGTGATTAAGCACATTATTAAGGAATCGAAGAAATGTGCCAATTACTGGAAAGCGATTTCTGTGCCATTTTCTATGGATGGTGACACAGAACACTTTTTGTCTATGCTTGCTGGTCTTGATCGCTGGAAATGTAATTATGTTCCAGATAAGATTGGGACAGTAAGGCGGAATTCGGCTATTTACCTCGAGTCTGGTCGGGAGTGCCTCGTTTGGGGTAAGCTGCCAAAGTCGGTGCGTCTTTCACCTGGCAGTACAGTTGTCACGGAGCAGACGTCTGCTTGCTCGGCTCCTAGGGGTGTCATGGTCGCACATGTGTTTTCTTCATTGAGAGCTGATGCGTGGGTTCCGTTGAAACTTATGAATGTATCTGATAAACCGGTAGTACTGAGGCGCAATGCTACATTTGCGGACTTGTATACATGTATGGTAATGGAAGACTTGGATTTAGTCAGCAGTACTCAATGTACTTTACCTGTTGTGACAGATCAGACCTTGACCAGTGGTCCTTCAGCCAAAGATAAATTATCTTCTATTGGGCTAGATAACCTTGACATCGACGGTTGTAATGTCTCAGAGGGGTGCAAAGGTGAGTTAGCGGATCTGATTGTGAAGTACCAGGATGTGTTTTCACGTCACCATCTTGATTGTGGAAAAGCTGACAAGTTTGTACATAGAATTCATTTGACCGACTGCAAACTGTTTAGACTGCTTTTTAGGAGTCCCCCTCAGTCAATATCAGAAATTGCGCCAGGTCCTAAGTGAAATGGAAGAGAAGGAAATCATAAGTAAGTCCACCAGTGAGTACACTTCGCCTCTTGTGCTTGTGTGGAAAAGGAATGGTGATCTGAGGATGTGTAACGATTTTCGATGGCTTAACAAAAGAACTGTTAAGGACGCTTACCCTCTTCCCCATCAAGCAGATTGTTTGGCTGCACTGGGAGGTAATTCACTGTTTAGTATAATGGATTTAACCTCGGGATTCTATAACATGCCCTTGCACGAGGATGATAGAACGATTTCGGCATTTACTACGCATATGGAGTTATATGAATATAACCGGCTTCCGCAGGGTCTTTGTAATAGCCCAGGGAGTTTCATGCGGATGATGACGTCAATTTTCAGAGATCAAAACTTTCTCAGTTTGTTGTGTTACCTGGATGACCTTTTAGTCTTTGCACTGGATGAGAAGACGGCTTTGGAACGCCTTGAGATGGTCTTTGGTAGGCTTCAGGACCATAATCTGAAATTGGCACCTAAGAAATGTCACTTTCTTAAGAATTCAGTGAAGTTTCTTGGTCATTACATTGACAAAAATGGGATATCCACAGATCCAAGCAAGGTTGAGAGCTTTGCTAGTACGTCAAAAGGGGATCTGATGGAAGCAGATGGTAAAACCCCTTCGTAAAAACGTGTTAGATCCTTCTTGGGGATGCTTCATTACTACCAACATTTTATCCCTAGGTATTTTTTCTTAGCTAAGCCTCTGTTTTCGCTTTCGACGGGCTGTGGTGGTAGACCTAGAGGTTCCTGAGTCCCTGGGCGACCTCCGATAGCCAGAAAACTTAGTTCCTATGACTGGACAGTTGAACATGATCAAGCAGTCGACAATTTGAAGGCAGCTCTTGTAAATGCGGTAGTGTTAGCTCACCCAGATTTCAGTCACCTGTTTGTGTTATCTACAGATGCTTCCCTTGATTGACCGGGTGCCGTATTATCGCAGGTCCAGGAGGGGGAAACGATAGCCAGATCAATAGCATTTGCCAGGAAATCCCTGACTCTGTCTCAGAGGAATTACCCGGCACACAGACTTGAGTTTTTGGCGCTCAAATGGGCCGTATGTGATAAATTTAGTCACTGGTTAAAGGGTCATGACTTCACTGTGTGGACAGACAATAATCCACTGACACACATCATGACCAAGCCAAAGTTGGATTGCTGTGAGCAACGGTGGGTATCTAAATTGGCCTGTTTCAATTTTGATATAAACTATGTGCCAGGATCAAGGAATGTGGTCGCTGACGCTTTGAGTCGAGTCCCCTTCATCAGGAATAGTGTCGGACACCGGCTGATCGATGAGCTTTATGATCAACTGTTAGGTGAAGTCTCAGAGTTGCCGGGCGCTTCGGTTCAGGAAGCTTTTCGGAAGTTGAACAGCTTATCCGTGGAACAGCTGTTCACACACAGTCAGTCGTTTCATCCGCTAGGCCAGTCCTTTTCAAAGAAGGAAGTGTCGGCTATTCTAGAGTCGCACAATGATTGGGATTCTGGAGCAAGGCAGAGAGCTGTGGATGTGGTCCAGCACTTACCTCAGGTTGTCCCTGATGACATGGCTGACTTACCTGTCTTTTCTGAGAGGGAACTGCGAGATGCTCAATTGTTTGATCCAGTTTTGTTGCGTGTAATGTTTTACGTAGAGAAGTCTCATAAGCCTTCTAGGAGGGAAAGTACGGGTGAGTCGGTTATGGTTTTGAGGTTTCGGAGGTGTTGGGATAAACTTATTCTGAGAAATGGCATCTTGTACAGGGTTTGCCGTGGCCAAATGTCGAAAGCTAAACGCTTTCAGTATGTGGTCCATGAGTCTCTTAAGACCAGAGTCATGGAGGGAGTGCACAATAATGCTGGTCACCAAGGTCAGTCGAGATCACTAGGCATTGCGAGGCAGAGGTCCTTCTGGCTTCATATGGACCAGGACATTTGGGATTATATCCAATGTTGTAAACTGTGCATAGTGAGTAAGGTGTCAGAACCTGAAAGCAGAGCTCTGCTGGAGAGTATCTCCACGTCGAGGCCGTTGCAGCTGGTATGAATGGACTTTTGGTCAGCTGAAGCTTCAAATAATAGATCTCTGGATGTTCTGGTCATCACTGACAATTTCACGAAGCTGGCCCAAGCATTCCCATTCAAAAATCAGTCTGCCAGGCAAGTGGCTAAAGTGCTCTGGGACAAGTATTTTTGTATTTACGGTTTTCCGGAACGAATACATAGTGATCAAGGTCCCAGTTTTGAGAGTCAGCTAATCAGGGAGCTTCTGAAGATTTCTGGTATCAGGAAATCTCACACGACACCATATCATCCGATAGGCAATGGATGTGTTGAACGGTTCATATGATTCGTGCTTTGACACCTGATGAGAAGGATTGGCCTAGGCGACTGCAGGCAATTACTTTTATGTATAATTGCACGATTCATGAGACTACGGGCTATGCCCCGTTTTATTTGATGTATGGCAGGGTTCCCCGTCTTCCAGTTGACGTCCTTTTTAGCAGTGTTCTTTCAGATCCTGATGTTGGTCAGTATGACAGGTATGTAGCTGGGTTAGTAGAGGACTTGAAAGGTGCAATGCTGATTGCTCAAAGGCATGCCAGCACTGAACAGAACAAGCAGACCAGGCTTTATAATAGGAACACGAAGCGTTCTCCTATTGAATAAGGTGACCGTGTTTTGGTGGCCAACAGACGGGACAGAGGCAAAAAGAAGACTGCTGATAGGTGGGAATCGACAGTGTATACTGTCATGGAAAAGAATGCTGACACTCACACTTATAAGGTCCTGGACACTGCCACTGGTCGTGAGAGAGCGGTTCATCGCAACCTGCTGATGTTGGTAAATTTCTTACCTGTGCCAGATGTGCTGGTGCCTCCAGATGAGGATTGTTCCGAAGTCCGTGGTCTCTGGTGGTGTTAGTGTGGCTGGAGGCCGATTGTCCGCTGGGAACAATGAGTCTGGGGACATTGGCTCTGAGGCGGACACTACCTTGAGCACTGGCAGTTTTCGTCAGGATGCAGTGGACGAGCCTACTTATGCGGTGGATGGCAGTGTTCTTGAGTCCAGGCGTGAGTATTCGCGTGGTCAATCCTCCGCTGGTTTGACTAGTTGCGAACCTGTGGATCCACGACTGAGAACCAAAGTGTGGATTGCACAGTTGCCTGCCGATGGCCGAAAGCAGTTCGGCCACCCTGAAGTTCCATCTGGTGCCTTAACTGATGCTGTGTTGCATAGCAGTCCACTGGATGATACTGTTTTTTGTCTCCCTTCTGGTATTGACGGTAGGACTGTTAGGGACGGTACAGCTCTGACTAGTGGTGATTTGGGTCAGGAGGGTTTTAATGCACACACCGGTACTGTTAGGAAAAGTTTTGGTCGTACTGTTAGACCTGTAAATAGACTCCTGTACACCATGTCCAGACAGGGACTTTTGCAAACTGTGGGTCAAAATGTTCAGACTGGTTGTAAGTCGTTTGTTCAGGCTATTAGAACCTAAAGTGCACCTGTTTATTAGTTTTTGTTTTTGATTATGTTCTTGATGTTTATTGCTTGATTGTTATTCTGTGCCCTGATGGTATTTCTGTGTAGTGGTATGTGTTGTGTTAGTCATTGTGGAGCTACGTGGGTTGTGCGGGGCAGCCCACTGACGGTGGTTGGGTAGAGAGTTTGGCGCCACTCTATCTACTTCATCTTTTCCTTGATACCTTGATAGTCAGTGTTTAGTGCCCATAAAGTACTTGGTTTTGTTTTCTGTCTGTTTTCTGTACCTTGGCATGGAATGATATTTTTGGCTGATTTCAGTGGGGGTTAGTGTAACGGATTGAAAACATTCATTGTGAACTCATCAAAATTATTGGTTGTTTTCTGAAGTAAAGATCTCTTGCTGGAGGTAAGTCACATACAGTTGCATTAATTGGAAAAAGGAAAAATGTATTAAGTTATGAATTTGGACATGCCCCAATTATAAATAAACTCCCTATACAATTAATAAATTTAACTGGATGATTTATAAATTTGTAGGAGGTGATATCTTAATGCAGAAATTCAAAATAGTTTTGGTGCCAAATTACTTTCCGAAGGAAGAAGGCAACCGGTTACTAAAATAAATTTTTATTCCTTTAGAAAAAGTGTGTGCAGTATCGTCAATTAGGCAACAGTTTTATGTGTGCAGGTATGTCATTTTATGTTATTTTATGTATATATTTCGATGTATTCCGGCGGCCATGGTTATCTTTTGTTAATGTGTGAATATTTTCTGTACATATGTTTGGTTATGAAAACAAAAACAAAAACTATATGATCATTGAACAGAAGTAAAGATCTCTTGCTGGAGAAAGACAAAGTGTGTGCAGTATCGTCAATTAGGGAACAGTTTTACGTGTGCAGAGCACAAGACACGGACCGCAGAAGCTGACCGAGGTGAGGCCGCTACACTTGCAACAAGGTCACGCTTGTTCCATCATCAAAATGTCAGTTTACAGGAACAACTAGCTGTGAGGTTGTAAGTTTGAAAAAGCCCACAGAAATGCATACTAAGTACCCTGGGAGATCAGTAAGTTCTGCTTTTGCAAGTAAGTGCACAGTATTTGATTTTGGACACAGGCTGAAAACAGAAATGAAAGCAAATCCATAAAGAATCACATAGATCTAGATGCCTTGCCGCTAGCAGAGATGTAGCTCAAAACTGCAGCACCCCCATCAGGGAGAAGAGACAGTCATACCAAGCAGTGTTAGACTTGAGGGAAGCGAGCATCTAGTTGCTGAGACAACCAGGCCACAGGAGATACTGCTGGCCTTCTGTGGTTCTCTGTGGTTTTCAGTTTCAAGGACAGTTTAACGCGGTCATTCTGCTCGTGGGAACAATGCTGACGAAGTGTTAGTCAAGTGTTAGCAAGGCCTCTATCCCGAAAGCTCTCGTTATTTAAAACAGCAGTTTGTCTGCTGACACCATTACGTGCTCACCAGTGCTCCAACCCCCCCACCAGTAAAATCGAGGGCTTAAATTTCCTTACGAAGAGCCTCCCTGGCCTCCGATTCGCTCATATGAAGACTGGGATCTGGATGGACCAGGGGCGTGGGTAGGCGACAGGGCAGTTTCCTCAGTGGGGGACCCTGCTGTACTGGAGGGTGTAGAGCCTGGGGAATACACACACGCAATCAGTTTAGGAGGCGGTCCCTGTCTTGCTATTTGCACATGACTTGCACAGTAACCTATCTTATGGAGCCCAGAGGCAGGTTCTATGGGGAAAATTCAATTACATTGTGACTGATTTAAACACTTCAAAGATTACTGTCTCAGAAGCCCCCTCATGCAATGCAATCTGTCCAAACAGGAGCCTGTGGGGCAAAATAGGTTCTATTTTTTTTTTTTAGTAATGGGTCGGATTGAGTTACCTCGGCCAGTGCTGCCGTCATTGGAAGCCATGAGTAGGCTGGAGGCGATCTCTGTACACCCCCTCTGCTCGCTGCCTCACCGCTACTCAGGGTCCACGCTGCTCTGGCTCAGTCCGCGTCCTGAAGCGCTGTAATGAGCGAGACGCTATTGCATGGTCCGCGGGCACAAAACCAGGCCTCCACTCTGCGTCCTTATTGCTATTATATTACGGGTATTACGGTGCAACTGTCACGTTGCAGGATTTTAAAAGATTAAAGATTTTAAAAGATCAATTTGTCAGGAGTAGCGAAATGCACTTTACATGCGCATTTAGTTATTTGTATAGTGAGACGTCTGCTGTACATAATGTTGTATTCAAGGTTGAAAATACCGATTCCTAATAAAACTAGGGCACAAATCCAGTTCTTGGCGCGAAATGAAGTGAATGACAGGAAAAAGCTATTGCAAGTATTCACGTCTTCTGTTAATATCGTCCATTAAGTTTAAAGGCAAACCTGATACCGACCTGCAGTCAGATTCTCTCGTGAGAAACTACCATCTTCGGAAAGTGCAACAAAAAGGTTATGACATAAACCTGGAATGAAGTTCATGAAGGCAAGTCAGAACTCGTTTGTGAGACAAGTAGGATTTTCACCAGTATAACCAATGTCACGTTTAAAAAATGCTTTTGAACACTATGAATCACCATCCTAAAGAAAACTGCCCGAAAAGCGTTTGGCTCTAACCACTCGTTTAAACAGGACATGTCACAACCTCGCTGACGCTACATAACGAAAAGGAGCTGCCCTTTAAACGTTACTGAGACTATAGATTTATTTAGTACCATGGAAAAAAAACAGCGTTCACGTCAGAATGGCAATTTACATAAATTTCTTCCCACAGAAACGTCAGTAATCGTAGTAAGTACGAGCTCTAAGCATTAAGACGTCCTCACAACCTCGTTTAACAAGAATGACCCTTTTCCGACTAACCTATACAAAGGCACCAAAAAGCTCGGCTGACATGCAGTACATATACAAATAAGCCAAAGTTACTTACCATTTCCAGCGTGTATCCTACTGGTACCAGTTAAATACAGATAGACCGACACATTGGCATCGTTAGCAGCCGGTACTCAGTCTCTCTGGTGTTTTGCTTGCTGACTTCCGTCTGGTCACATGACTTGTAGTAGCCGCTGATCACATGACCAGTGAAATTTTCCCTTACTGTGCAGTATATACGTTAAATTAAACTGCTGCTATCAGGGCATGAGTTGACGTTAACCAGCCGCTGTATGTTTATTTTTTTATTTTGTAAACTGCAATGAAGGCAAACAAACATGCCCTTTTGTTTGTTTTTACAAATATGAGAATCAATTTATGGTGACGCTTACATCTCATTTCAATAAATTATGCCTGACTGCCGATTATGCTATCTGAATTGGGTTATTATATTAAACCACATATAGCTATTTTATTTGGGGTGAATAGTTTGGTAACTCAGACAAACACACGGTTTACAAATAAAGGGACAACGGGAAAAGTGCATCTTTCTATCAACGCCCCTTACCTCCAAAAAAAAACCCCTCAAACTGAAAAGATATGGCCAATACACTTGCTTCTCTTAATTTATCGAGCACTGTCATTTTTCTTTGTAATTCAATGCACAACGCTTCCCGTTTACCGGAGTTTCAGAAATCTACGGATCTGAAACGATGTGGTAGTTTTACCTTGCCCCTAAATGTGACGCGCATCATAACTGTGCTCCCAGTACGCGGCTAGAAACGGCATTATTGTGCCTGGTAGTCACTTTCTCAGATCGATCCTCAAAATGACGGCAAGTCTGCAGGCGTTAAATGCACACAGATATTTATTTGTACTGTTTTCTTAATGTACCTAATATAACACTTTAGTTGGTGTTACTTACTTGATATGTACATGGATCACAGGCCTGGCGTTGAAGTGCTAATCGAGAATGAGTTTGAATAGCTAACTAAAATAATTCGCTATAAACTTCTTGTTTTCCCACCACAGACACACGAGTTTTTCGTGGATATGACATGTGAAGGCTGTTCTGGGGCAGTGACACGAGTGCTCAACAAACTGGGTAAGCAGATTACAAAGCAAGACCATGATCTCTTTAGTTACTATGTTTCCTTCTGGACATATACATCAGATTTTGCGAGTGAACTATTTATCCTTTGTTATTACGATCAAAAGACGAGTTTTAAAAATAAAATATATTGTGGATTCATCAGAGGCGGCTGGATTAGTCCTAAAATTTAGTACTTCTTCATATCTTATTGATGCATTTTTTTCCCACTTTCGATTTTACGATGTCAGCTTTCGGCTTGGTGTTACGTGTATTAATATATCCTTCGTTGTGACATCGCTATGTTATACTTCTTTTACTTGTTAATGTGTCGTAATTAGAAATCAACACTGTGCTAATGTCCCAAATTGTTAGTTATTGTTAAGGAATTCCAAGTGTAAGTAATCTTTATCAGCATGACAGGTGGTCTGGTTAATGTCGTTTTTATGTTACTCGACGGACAAACCTTTTTGTCTCGCCTGTGCAAATAAAGGAATTAAAAGTGAAAGAAATTAAATTTGATCCATTTTTAAAAATGGTATTGAATTTAGCGTTTGCTTACTTTTTTGCTAAACATTTGAAGTTAAGTAATTGCACTTACGGCAATGAAAGACAGCATTTCTGTCTCAGTTATATGGATAATTGGTTAATGTGTTGCAAAATCCCCATCTCTGAGCACTTTACAGTCCTACATAGACACCCACTGGTTTACACAAATCAGAGGACTGGTTTTCTTTAGACTTTGGCCCCTGATCTCATGCCCTGTTTAAGGAGAATTCTGCAGCTGTTTCATAACATTCTTTTAAAAAATGTAGTACTTTCTTGTGGCCCAGCTTAAATGTCTCATATTTTAGCATGTGTGCTGTTGAAGATATAATGTCTCTGCTGGGATTATATAGAACATTGTTATATACTTTGGGAACTTTTAAAATATTAATCTAAATATAGTTATGGATTATTTGGATCATGTTCGCTCATGCTTTCTCCTACAGATGAAAAACACGCCAGTTATATGAACTGGTCTTCTTAAATGTCCCACAGTGTTTGTGTGAGTCTGTGCCCGGCATCTCGTCCAGGTTGTCCCCTGCCCTGTGCCCAGAACTCTGGGAAAGGCTTTAATGGATGGCTGGAGGGATAAAAATCGTATTAGGAATGTATTGCTAGATATTAACTGAATAGCATTTCAGGATTTTATAGCGGACAGACAGCCCCTCCTCAGATAAATCCTAGATTGGTCTTTCTCACTCTTTCTGTTAGTGTGACGACTGATGACATAAATTAGGGGCCTGAAAATGTGTAAGATTGAGCTAGTTGAGTTCAGCCAATTGAAAAATGTAAAACGGGGCCCAAATGTGCCCAAATTGCCACTGTGAAGATATTAATGTACCTGTAATCACAAGGTTGCCGGTTCAAACCCAGCCTCAGCATGTCTGTGGGTCCTTGAGCAAGGCCCTTAACCCCCAGCTCCCTGGGCCCCCCAACAGGTGGCTGCCCTTCGCGGACAACTTACTCTTCAAAGAGCAAGTTGAGGGAGGCGTAAAAACAATTTCCCCACGGGGATCAATAAAGCATCAATTATTAATTATTATTATTATTAATCAGCAGTCGACCCGGCGTACTGGCTGTGAGCGGCGCCGGAATGTGAACTTTGTACTGTCAGCAAACGAAAGTACAGTAGGGTGTTGGGGCCCGACGGCGTCCTCTCTCGCTCTTTCCCCCGCCGTCAGCCCTAATGTCTCTCTGTTTCTTTTGATCAGATGTCAAATTCGACATCGACCTGCCTAATAAGAAGGTTTTTATCGAGTCTGACAAGGATGCCAACCAGCTCTTGGAAACGCTGAAAAAGACCGGGAAGACCGTGACGTATATCGGGTCAAAATAAAGCGCCTTTCCTCCTCATCGGATGAAGGAAACAGGTAACAGCTTCGGTGAAGTGATGAGCTGGGTCAGCAGATGTTTAAATGGTGTGTGAAAAGTTGCAGATGGTTTGAGGAGCTGTACAAATCTAATGTAGGTGTGCAGTGGTAGGTGGGTGCGGATGGCCTAGCTGCTCAGTACTCACCCTTTCTGTGTTCCTGATTTGTCATTGGTTTGACAGATGGGGGCTGCTCCTGTTGCCATGAGAACCGGGAGAGCACTGTTGGTGGAAGCTTCTTTTCCCGGTTCAGCTAGGGAGGTGTCCTGCCATGCTGGATAGCAAACAAAATTCTCTCTGTGCAATATGCTATATGGGTCCACTAGGGGGTGCTCCATTCAGCTTTATACTTTTTCTTTCCTAGAAACTGAAATCTTGTTCAATCGAAAACCCTAATGAATTTTACTTTCTTATTACTTTCTGTTCTTCATATGAGATTGGAAGCTGTGGTATAGTGTTTATGAGCCCTCATATGTATAAACTCTGAATATTGTACAGTTGCAAAATTAAAGTGTGATTGTACTAGCCATGTTTTTCCTGTTTTTCAACGCTCAATTCTTTATTGCCGTCATTGTACCAGGGCTGGACGATATGGACCAAAAATCACATCTCGATATTTTTTAGCCGAATGGCGATATGCGATATATATCTCGATATTTTTCTCTTACATAAAGTGATAACAAATAGACAGTTTCCAAGTCAGAGCCCAGATGTGTCCAATATCACACAGGCACTTATACTCACAGACAGTATGGAATATTATTCAGCATTATGTAACGTAGAATATAAGTATTATGATATTATTAAAAAGTATGCCAAATATCCATTATGTAATCATTACAATGTAAACATTATATTGTAATCAACACCATGTAATCAATTGAGTATGTATCTGCACCTTGTATTAACCTAAGAGTTTCTGTTAGCTACTTTTATGTTAGTCCTGAATCTATGAATATCCACTTTTATTTGCATACATTTTATCACTACGTTAAAGGACAAATATATTATCAACCCTCTAGTTAGTCTGTGCAACAGGCTGAAGCTGCCAAGGTTTACTACTGAAGGAAGGGATTCGCCTGAATTCACCAAAAGTTCACGGCTGAGCATTTTTAAAAAACCAAATGGAGATGGTCGCACCACCATTATGTTCAGTCGAGGGACCAAACGGTAAAAGAAATGATGGACAAACATCGCCTAGGGGTGTGGATCAAGGGGAAAAAACAATGATTGTGAATGGTTGAAGGAATGATGATGCTCAAGTGACGAGATATTGTTAAATGATAAGAACTTGTATAAAAATTGGTGTAAAACAGTATTGGACACACTTGGAAGTGTCCGGCCTTGATTGTAACTTCATTGTTGCAATAAAGACTTAATTTGGATTTACACCAGCGGCTTCTGACTTCTGATTTGGCGGAGAAGGAAAAACCACAACAACAGCTGTACATGTTCCTGAAAAAATGGCTCAAAAATAAACTACCGGTGTTCTGACTTTATTAGAATAACATGCCGGTAGAGCAAATTTATTGCTACATCTATCGGTCTATTGTATTTTATCAAAACAACATACCTACATATTTTAAAGAGTGTAATGTACTCTGATAAGGAAATTGTATTTGTAACAGGATAAATTGTATTTGTAACAGAAGTAATGTGCCCTAATAAGGAAATGTACCCAATCAGAACTGAATATCTATGGTTTTTAATGGTGGTAATGCATTCCAATAAGGAAACATATACTATGGGAAAAACGTACATGAAAAGGAAATATATGCTATCTTAACAAAATTCCTGTGGTTTTTAATGGTAGTAACAATCTGATAAGGAAATGTATGGTATCAGATCAGTAGATCTATAGCATGTAACAGAGCTGGTTCCCCTCCAGCACTCATTGTTCCAGCAGAAATTGTATTTATGCGAAATATTACACGAACAACTACGAACAAAAACGGACAATGCAAGAAAATGGAATGTGTATGACAGAAAGCTTGAATATTTTTGCAACAATGGATTTAATTTATGTACTACTTGTACATAGTTATAACTATAGATACACATAATAACGGGAAAGCATAATCGGTAATTTTTCGTCGAATATTCTTGAAATGGTATGATAAATTTATGGGCTAGCGGAGATCACTATGTAATCCTGTTCTTCACATGTGCTGTAAATGAGAGCATGCTATTCTGATTAATATGCTATAATGTCAGAACACTATATTATTTTACCAACCAGCCCCTCTTTGCTAGCTTGTCTCATGTCTGACTCTGTCGGGGGGTATTACACACAAGCTTATTATCGATAATGAAAACTGAAATTATTCGGAAACATTTTCGTAAAATGAAATTAAATACTATACGAAAATAAAATTTAAACCTACAACTAAACGAAAGCTTTAAATATTGCTCCAGAAAAGAACTATATTTGAAAAATATAAACCGTTAAATATTTTCCTTTATTAATACAACTTTCAATTTATCCCTAGAGATAGAATTACTAAAACTAAAATATGTAAAAAGCAAATTGAATCATATTTTAAAAATTAAAATGAAAACTAAATATGGTTTTAATGAAAATTGAAAGTTTTGTAAAAAATAGAAACGATTGAAAAGTCGAACTTATAATGTATATATGCAGCCAAGCGTTAATGGGAGGAATGCCACAAGGCGGCGACATTTCTCCATGTATGCTGTCTTTTTCCATAACTTCTAATCTTATTAGTGCATTCTAATTTATGGAAGACACAACAGGATGCAAATCAGCAACTACATGCACACATAAAACATGTATAAAGGATGCATAATGTTGTTCACAAATCCCATTGGTGCAATAAAAAGCTAGACACAATTTTAGGGAAGTGTATTATGGAAATGTTAATCAGCAAAAGAACCCTATAAAACAGAAGATTAGAAGTAAGTTGACGGCTGATAATTAAATTACATACATTTGTTTTATTTGAATTACTTTTGTATTTAATGTCTGCTTTGTTGTTATTGAGCAGTTTGACATTTTCGCTGTTTCATCTTAGAACATTTAGATTTTATCCCACAATTCCCAGAGCTTTGTGGAATATCACTACAGCAATTCTCAGCTTCTGGGCTCTTTTTGTTATTTTGTTACAGCGTTATGAATAAATAATGCAGGTGCATTGTGGGGGCTGCTGAGCCAGTTGTCCGAGAGCCTCGATGAAAGCATCAGTGATGGGTTTGATACGAGAGGAGCCCTTTACCAGCCGGAGCACCACTGAAACCGTGGCTGAGTAGAAGAGGACGGCACAGTCAGGGCAGCTGAGAGTCAGGGCGGGAGGACTCTACACTGACCCCAGGAAGGCCACCACAGCAAGGATGCAGAACAGCACTACTGGGGACAACAGTGGGTACACCAGTCACACCTGGGGACACTCTGGACTCAGATCATTAGAAGTGACCTTCAGAACTTTATGGAGTACTGAGATGGGGTACCAGGTACTGATGAGAGAAATGCAGCTCTGAAACCCAGAGCAGGTGGTGCATGGCTCAGTCAGGTAGGATGCTGTTCCTGTGATCGGAAAGGTCACGGGTTCGAGCACTAAGGTTAGCCAAATAGCTTCACCATTGGGCCCTTAACTCACACTTGCTCAAGGGACTGTCTACTCCTACTTTCTAATAAAAGGATGTCACTATATGAAAATGTAGTATTTTTCAGTTGAACTTCATGAACGGGTTCAGCCAATGTCATGCCTGGTCGGACAGACCAGGGAGTGAATGACAGCCTTCAGTAATGCCACTAGCCTGGTTTCAAAGCCCTGCTCCTCCTGTCTGTCATGCTCTTTTGGGTTGCGTATGTTTTCACCTGAGAAGGTGTTCAGGATCAAGGCCGCCATGGCTCTGCTCCCCTTCAGGATGGCCGGTCTAGTGGCAAAGAGCACAAGGAAGGACAAGACGCAGGAGCCGGTGAGGAATATCCATGTCAGGCTGTACGGTCCTGCAGAAAAAAAAACATGTAAATGGAAGCCGTGCGTCAGCGTTCCGAAAATAGATTCCAGATGTGTTTCAGCTCTCCTCTACTGTGGAAGGCTGGGGCCCTGCTGGGATCTTCTGGCTGAAGTGGAGGTCCAGGCTGTACTTGCCACGAGTCAGCTTCACCCATGTCTGGGTGATGGAAGAGTACCGAGCAGGGGTATGATTGTGGGCACAGCTGCAGTACCGGTGCTTATTGCCAGGGGGAGCTAGGTAACCCTGAGCAGTCAGGAGGAAGGAGAGGGAGTTGGGGGGGGGGGGCAGTGTCTGACTTGGCATGTTAGGACACTTTGCCTGTAACTGGAAGGTCGCCAATGCAAATCCCAGGATCAGCGGAGTGGCTTCACCTTGAGCCTTCGAGCAAGGCTCCCGGCACTGGTTAATAATTCTTTCTAAAAAGATGTACGTCTCTTTGAATCAAAGCATCTCCTACATAAATAGAATGTAAATGTTCGGGTGGATAGAGGATCCTCACCATTGCAAACTGGGAATGCTGTGCAGCTGAAATTATTCTCATAGGTCTGACAATTGGTGAGGAGACCCACACTGGTGTCCCCCGGTAGGACCAGCCACCGTGGGTGACGGAGGCACATGGTGAAGAGCACAACCTCGAGGGCCACCATGGCCATCATCACCGTCACGGGGTTCTTCATGCCGTTTTCTTTCCATGGCACCAAAGCAAGATCTTTCAGCCAATGAAGCCTTCGTGCCTCAGTTGGCCTGAACCAAGGCAAAGAACTTCCAAATTCCAGCGTTTTTCTTTACATTAATCTTTTCGGAATGCAAGACGCTATCTTGCCTTCCAGAGTCCCCAGTGTTCATCTCGGCACTAAAGCACCAGCCAGCCTATGTGCACCCTGGTACACACAGTTCAGGTCCCAGACGTCAGTATCAATGAGGCTCAAAACGGCACTTCAAAGGATCTTGAAGATAAGGCTCAGACAAAGCCTGTCTGCGCTGAGTGCAAAAAAATCAGACACCGGCCGCAAGCAGCTATTGAGCACAAGTCCCAGAATTTTGGCCAATCTCTTCAGATAATACATATTTGTGCTGTGTTTATATCTACCCAAAGGTAACACAATGTGAAGTTCAACCTCTACAGAGTTAAGGCTTGACGGGGTGAAACATTTCTCTATTCATTACGATATAATCGTATTCAGTCTTGGGAACAGTCATATCTCTGCTAAAAGAGAGACATAATGCCACCATGTTAGCATGCGAGACGAGTGACTATGTTGTTGATACAGCAGTAGAAGTCTGGGAAAGAAGGAACAACGATAATGCAGTCTTGCATTTTACGCCAAATGACTTTACCCCGTGGGCTGTATCACTTTCCCTCATCAGAAGTTGAGTTGACCAGGGTCAGGCTTGAGGCAATCTACGTAACGTTATCGTCATGACAACATCGATATTGTCAACTTAACGTGCTACATGAGTGCTGCCCTCGGAACACAACATCAGTTAAGGGTTGCGGCCTGGGGGCTGAGGCTTCAAAAGGTGTCTTTCCAACTGTTTTTGTTCTGATGATGTTATATTGGAGTCTGAGGTGTGTCTGGGGTTCTAAGACATGGGGCAGGAGGACGAATAACATCAAAGAGAAACAAACAAAACACAGACAGAAGAAACCCCCTGTCAGAGAGTTGGGTTATTACAGTTATCATTTCAACAGGGGTGTCTGTTGACCTGGTTAGTTTTAGAAGAATCTTCTCACCTGAGGTAGCTCAAGGTTTTAGTGATTTTGACAGCAAGATGTTGGGGGTATTGGTCCAGAATGATTCTATTATAAGGTCAACATCTGTAACCATGGTGCTACCTGGGTTAGACTTGCAACTGAAAGAGACCTCGCATGTAACCAAAAATGGATCCTGCATCAGTGAACCGACTGGCAACCCCACTCAGGATTAGTCCCAGTTCCCCCGCCCCCCTGGGTCTGGCTCGGAATGCCAAGCGATCCACTGCCGTCCGTCCATCTGCCAAGGTAAACAAGAAGAGCTGGAGCCTATTTATCAACCTGAGGGCATTTACTGGGCTCCGTGCGCAAACACCCGGGACAAAGATACACACAGGCATGCCTGCCGCATTTCCGACACCAGCGCCGCTAATTTGGTTTAACGGTGTTTTCCAGGGAAATAAAGGTAAACAAACACATCAATCTTGGTCCCGTAGATATAAATAAGGGTCACGTTTGGGTGGATTCTAGGACGTCGCAGGAGAGAATATTACCGGATAAACACAGCAGTTTGGAGGCCGTCGCTTATTTTTGTAATGCCTGCATCAGCAAATGTGAACTCATAGCAACAGTGACTTGTGTTAGCAGAGGTGGCAAGACAGTAGGGGGGCCATTAGCATTGTCTGGGTCTCGTAATATCTCTCGCATCATTCACGTTAA